AATCACTTAATGTTATTAAAGGTAAAAAAAACAAAACTGAAATTTATTAGATAATTATTAATTAAAAAATGTGACCACAAATTAAAAAATTAAAATGAATAAATTTGTCAATAAAATTAAAAAATTCTAATTCCCTAGCGGTTTGGTACAAAAAATTACATAAACTAACTTTTTCAATCCGCTAGCAATTTGAACCCTAATCGTTATCCGCTAATCTCAAACCGCTAAATAAAAATTTTACCAAACACTTTAATTGTAATCATTTTAAAATATATAAATTTATCAAATATCTATATTTAACGATTTAGATAAAATTACTAACTGCTACCAAAAAATCACTATACTAAACGGAGCGTTAATCTTGTCACATTAGCATTTAGTCAGCCTGTGATTGGTGACGTCTTAAGAGTTTTAATCTTGTCACATTAGCATTTATTCCGCCCGTGATTGGTGATGTCTTAGGAGTTTTAAACTTGTCACATTAACATTTATTCCGACTGTGATTGGTGACGTCTTAAGAGTTTTAATCTTGTCACATTAGCATTTATTCCGCCCGTGATTGGTGATGTCATTTTGGAAACTACCTTGTGTGGTGGGTGATTAGTTGTAAAAATTAAAATTAATCATATATTTAAAACAAGGTTATTATATATATAATTTTTTGGAAAATAGGCAATGAAGTTACTATAATTAAATCACAAAAATGTTGTGAAATGTCACCTAATCTTAATTTATATGGAGGGTATTAGAAAAACAGTACCGTATTAGAAAATGTTGCTCATTTTTTACATTAATTTTGTGTTAAAAATATAAAAGTCAGATCTTGATTTTTTTTATTGATGAATTACAATTGCATAGGTGGTATTGGTTCATAAAGTCAAGGTCAGATATTGATTTTCTCCTTGATCAATTAAAAAAGTTCCTTAGCTTACCAGGCACAGCAGAGAAAAACCTATATCTAAATAATTGGATAAATGAGAGCGGGAGTTACTCAACTTTTGGGGTGCTTACGTCTGAACTAGTGGATTTATGAAAATTAGAAATATTCAACTGTCTCTTAGAACTTACATTTGAACATTTCAACAGTGATGCAATGCAATAACGTAAATGTTAAGTTTATTTACTGAGAGTATTTCTGAACCTGATGTGCAGCTTTGTTCAAAGTACCACTCCCAACCAAGCTGACAGGTGATGAGCTCAATGAGCATATTCCCAGACCCAGTCCCAGCTAAAGTGGGTGAGTAATTCCGTTCTCCTGGAGACCAAGTCCTCCAAATGTGTGGTATCTTATTTTGACCATCTGTCTCCCAAAAGAAAAATATGGTACAAAAGCAGTTGGTTCTTCCGAAGTGTTAACATAAAACCCACAGAGACAGAAAATCAAACACCTAGAGAACAAAGCATTCCCAAACCCAAAAACAAATTCATAATCCAATCTTTATTTATCTATTTAATTTTATCTTGAATTACAAAACTAGCAAACAATTGTCTTTCATCTGTCTACACATCTTTAGCATGTTATAATACTCAACTTAAAATGTTTTATTTTAGTGAGAAAAAATACTCAGATTATAAAAAAAATTCAAATTAGTTAAGAACTAGTTTTCCCTGCATTGTAAGCGTGAGGGCAGTTTCATCATCCCACCTGGAAACAATTGAAATCAAAAGACAATTAAAATATAATCGATGTTTACAAATACAAATCAATTTTTTTGAACCTAATTATAAATCCAAAGGAAAAAAAATAAAAATTTTAAAGAATAAAAAAATTGCTATTATCAAACAATATTATGATGCTCAATTCGAAATTAATACAGACTCCATTTTTTAGATAAAAATAAAAG